CGGGGAGGAGCGGACGTGCGTGCGGCCAGCACGAGGAGGGAGTAAGTTTTAAGAGACTTGGGACGCTTCGCAGCACTTTTTACACTCGAGGTTCCGTGACCATGACCTCAGAGCACGGCGGTGGTGCCACGTCTCCTCTTCTCCTCTCGCCTTTTTCCTCTTATCACATCCTCTAAACACCTCTGACATTTCAAACAAATATGAACTTCATTGTCTGCCACTTATCTTTCCTACTAGATAGAGCGGAGGTCGCAAGGACGCGAGATGATGTATATGCTCAAAGGGCGCGTTGGCAAGGGCAAAGGACGTTGGACCATGGCATAACAGTAACCTAGAAGGTGGTATCAAATAGAGGGTCTGGTAACATCACGGAACATTTAAATTTTATATATTTTACATTGGATACTGATACTCCTCTTCAGATACTCACCTCTCACGAATAACCACCTTATATTGTACCGATGGTGTGCTGTATTGTTGTGTGGGTTGGCATGCGCCGTAATCGCTACTGCCACGGGGGGCAATTTGTCAGCTGCCGGCTGCGCTCGCTTGGGAGTGATCCGCGCTCAGTAGAGTGGCGCTCCGTGTGGCAGAGGTCGAGTATCAAAGAGATTGGATTGGTCGCCATAATGGGGTAGGTGGTATTTACTGTGGCTCTCTCCAAAAAGAGGTATTCTTAGCCTCATTCCTTTGGCGAGGATTGAATCGCTTCTGTATATATATCTTGACAAGCCCAATTATTTCTTAGTCAGGTCGTGCTGATTGCCTTGCACGCCCTCTGTGCATTCCCTGTAAGACTAGCTCTGGGTGGAGAGCCTCCAGTGAATTTTCGTTACTATTGCCGAAGTGAGGTAAAGAGTAGAGAAGAGGGAGAGGGAGGGTAGGGAGGTGAGAGATGGAGATGAGGATGAGAGGGTAGAGGGAGTAGAGGGAGTAGAGGGATGGATGGTAGATGTAGGTAGTGGATGAGAGAGAGAGAGTAGAAGAGAGAGAAGAGATGAAGAGAGAGAGATGTGAGAGAAGAGAGAGAAGAGAGAAGAGAAAGAGAAATACAAGAACAGAGGCAAGACATACAGGACCATGACACAGACAGTATTACACCGGCAGACACAACCAGAGGACAGGAGAGAAAGTGGGACGATGGGGAGTCATTTATTAGGAAATCTGGGAGTCTCGTTTATTGCTTTTTAATAGTGTAACGCTCTTCGGTTTTGCACGCGAAGTCTGCAACAACTGACGACCTCGGCAATCAATACAGCCAAAGTGAACAGCAATGTCATGCAACAAAGTAAAAAGAAGGGAATGGAGACGTATAGATATATATAAAAAAAAAGTGAAAAAAAAAGAAGGAGAAAAACGAATGGGGAAAATATAAAAGAGCGAACGAATAAAAGCAGAGAATAAAAGTCAGATGAACTCCAGTGACCCGCCGATGCATGGTCGACCGAGAAGACAAGCCGACAAAAAAAAGGGAAAAATCGTATTCTCTCGGATCCCCCAACTTTGGCCCTATAGCAAGTGGCTCACTACTTAAACGCACATAGTACGCATCAGTATTCCTCTGTGACGCCTCCTCTTCCAGCCTTCTTCTTCTATTCTTCATAATCTCTTCTCTCTCCTCTCTCTCTCTCATCTTTCTTTCTGCTCTTTTGTCTCTCTCTTTCTCTCCCTCTCTTTCTCCTCATCTTCTCTCTTGCTCTGACTCCTTCTTAACTCTTTTACTCTTTCTCCCTTTCTTTTCTCTCCCTATCTCTCTTTTGCTTTCTCTCCACCTCTTGCTCATGTATTGTCTGTCTCGCTCACTCACTATATCTGTGTGTTGTTTATATACCTCTCGTCTCTCTCTCTCTCTTCTGGTCTCCTCTCTCTTCTCATCTTCTCTCTCATTCGTTCATATCTTCTCTCTCTCTCTCTCTCTTCTCTTCTTTCTATCTCGCCTCCCCGCCAATCCCTCTGCTCTCTCTTCGGGCTCTCGTCTTCTTTTCCTCCTCTTGGACTCTTTTGATCATACCTTAATACTTGGTCTCTTGTCGTCAAACCTGCCCCCCCCCGAAACCCTCTGGGCCGTTTTCCATTTAGGGTTATAACCTAGACACAGTTGTGGTTTAATCTATATTTAATGTTTTTCCGTTATTATAACCGTCCAGTTTTCGTAAATCGCTTCTCTCTCTCTCTCTCATACTCTAATTACCTCCTTTCTCTCACTATTTCACTCCTCTTTCCGTCTCTCACTTCTATGGTCTTCATCCTCTCTCATTCTTTCTCTCTCCCTGCCTCTCTACGTTCCTTTTCTCTTTTCCCTTTCTCGCATCTGATTCTTCTGCTTTCTAATATATATACCTAACGCTTCTCTCTCTCTCTTTCTCCTCCTCTTCTCTCTCTCCTTTTTCTCTCCTTCCTCGTTTCGTCGTTCACACTTTCCTTCTTGGGCTATTCTAGTGCGCCATCTCCACCATCCTACACCACACACCCTAACCCACTCGCACTTGCCCTCCATCTCTCATCCACATCCACACACTCGCTCCAACACACCACAGCGATCCTCCTCATCCCACCACACCCATCCTCACCACACCATATCACATTCCTACTCCCACACCAAAACTTCCCTCACACATATATTATATCTCGTCTGTAGCGGTAATATATATTACATAGAGACTTATAACTATCTCTCATCTATTTACTCTCTTCTCCTCTCTCGTATTAGTACTCTCAGATTACATTCTCTCATCTTCTCTCTCTCACTCGTCTCTCTCTCAATTTTTCTTCATGGCTTCCATTCTTCTCCATCTTGTATCTCTCTTTTCCTCCATTTCCAATTTGCCTCATACTGGGTTACCCGGTCCTCGCTGGGTTCCTTTGCCACCTGGTCGAAGATTGCTGACTCGTTTAGCTATACCGGGAAAATATGATCATTTGCGCGGATGCATGATATCGGAAAATATTATTAGCAACAGGCATCCTTTTTCCATCGGTTGAGCCATCTAAAAATTGCTTTCTCTGGGTTCGCTTATCTTTCTCCTCCGCTTAGTTACATGGGTCGTCATTAGCTAACCCAATTAAAAATGAAATGGTCGTTCCCATCCAGCACCATGTCTCTCCACCCCGTTCTCTTACTTGCCTTTTCCCACCCACTTCGATTCGGCATAATTGTTGCTACGCACACCTCAAGGCCAGTATTTTTCACCTCACTTGATTCCTGGGCACCGAGAGGCTCGCATGGCGGCCTGCACCTCTCAACAGGGATCCCTTAGACTCAAGAGTGAAGTTTCCGACAGTTATGCTGACCATGGGGCGTGCCAAGACAACCCCCTTAACAGGCCCAGTTCGCTGCTCTTCGCACACCACCAACACGTCCCTACGGCCGCAACCTCACACCACACGCCTCGAGCCCAGATTTTGTATATTAATGGACGGTTTTACGAGTTACGATGTTATAGTAAGTGTTCTTGTCTTTTAGGTGTTTTATATGGCGCGGCACACACAACACACACACGAGCGTCACCCACAACGTGCGCGTGCGCACTATACATATCATACTTAAACGCATGAAAATTTCACACACACACTTGTGGTGTATGGCGGATAAGCAATACGTTGTATATATATATATATATATATATAATACTATATATATAATATATTACACACACACACACACACACAACACACCACACACACACACACAACATATATATATATATATATATATATATATATTATATTATGCATGTATGCATATATGTATATATGTATATATGTATGTATATATGTATATATATACCATATATTACATATTATAGTATATCACATATATATGGATACATACATGCATTATATAATATATATAATATATATATATTATTATATATTATATATATATATGTGTGTAGTGTGTGTGGTGGTGTGTGTGTGTGTGTGTGTGTGTGTGTGTGTGTGTCGTATATATATATATATATATAATATATTATATATATATATTATATAGATATATACATCTGTGTGTGTGTGAGTGTATGTATTTAAATATGTATAAAAAGAAGAGAGAGAGAAGAGAAGAGAGAGAGAGAGAGAGAGAGAGAGAGAGAGAGAGAGAGAGAGAGAGAGAGAGAGAGAGAGAGAGAGAGAGAGAGAGAGAGAGATTAGTGTATATACAGATGTGTATATATACATATAGCATCTGTCTGAGTACAAGTGTGTTTATGAAGATCCACCATCGTGTGGAAGAGATAAAGTGGATAATTTTAAAGAAATCCTAATCTGACCTTTCGTATTTTAGAATATTTATGTAAACATTTCTCTCTTTTCTTTCATCTGTGGAGGTGTATTATACAGTATTGTATAACGCAATACAGTATTTTATTCATTGTAGCATTCTTCTCGTTTCAGTGTGATGTTAAAGTTATTTTCTCTCTTGTAATAATTTGCATACAAACAGACACGCACACATACACAGACACACACGCACACATACAGACACACAAGCGCACATACAGACACACACGCACATACAGACACACACACACATACACACACACGCACACATACACAGACACACACACAGACAACACGCACACACATACATAGACACACACGACACACATACACACACACATACACAGACACGCACACACGCATGCATACACAAACACACTCGCACACATACACAGACACACACGCACACATACACAGACACACACGCACACATACAAACACACACACGCACACCTGCGTACATGGATGACGCAAATGACAGTACTGGATATGATAATCAAATTGAAGGTGTTCATTTGTGGAGAGGATAATGGGAATAATAAAAGATATACTGATAGTGGCGACAACAACGACAATATATCTTAGCGTACTCCGTGTGCAGAAAAATGGCGGGAAAGACGCATCGTGCATTTCCATTGTTTTTATCTCTGTCTTTTTCTTAATCTCTATCTCTCTATTTCTTTCTCTCTATCCACATATTTCTCTCTCTGTCTGTTTGCCTG